GAAAAATATTAATAATAATACAGGTGGGTAGTATATGACAGAACTCCAGGAGGGAAGTCTCAAGTGACTGGAGCCTGGTAAATCTGCTGTTATGTTGCCCGTAGTTTAAGATACTACAGCAGGGGGATGCACACTCACATGTGTGTAGGTTTGTGTGTGTGTTAGATTTAAGCTATACCATAGGAAGGTTAGTTAATACCTGAAGTTCCCTCATTGGGAATGAACACTGGTGCAAGTGAAAGACTCTAATTAGAAGTCCTTATTTCAGAATAGGCTGCTTCAGGGCTTTAGCTGTCTTCATAGTGGATCAATGAAGTTAGTCCTTTATTCATTAGTCTAACTGTTGTTAGAAAGAATTTTTTTTTCTACTGGTAAAATGATCCTAGAAATATTCTCAGAAACTCTGGCCCTTGCATGAACAGAACCTGGTGAGCCCACTACTGTATCTCCTTCAGAACAGGGCCCTGGGTCTAGGATTTGGGGTTCAGAGTCTTCTTGAGGATTTTACCGTCAGACCACGGTTAGGATGAGCTGATCCTGCCTCTAGAACGTGGCTGCATCTGCCTCGAGGAATCACTCATGCAAAGAGGTATCAAACAGACAGCTGGTATTTCAAGGAGCTTCCAGAAAAATTTGAGTAACTTTTATGAGGCAGCTTGATAATAAATGCTTGTATGCATGGCAGGATTCAGCTGACTCATATTTTCATTGTGTCTTTCTCAATGAACAGAAGTTCTTATATTTAATGTATTCAAATAAATCAATCTTTTTGTGCCTGGTATGCTTTTTGTACCTTTAGAAATCTTATACCTAGAGATTATAAATATATTTTCCTATGTTATCTCCTAAAACCTTTTGTAACATTGCCTCTTACATTTACGTCTTTAATTTTCTTGGAAATGATTTCATGTGTGGTGGGAGGCAGGGGTTAGTTATCTTTTTTGTTTTTTCTTCCCTTGTGGATACCCATTTGTTGAGGAATGATCTGCAAGGCTGCCTTTGTCAGTATCACAGTGTCTATCCAAATACACACAGACCTGTTTCTGGGTTTTCTATTTGTTTCAAGGGTTTGTCTATCCCTTGTGCTAACACTGTGCTATGTTAATTACTGTAGCTTTATGATAGGTCTGGTAAAGCAGAAAGTTTCTTCCATTGCAAAATACACCTGGTAGCTAGCTTTGGGATATCATCTATAGCCCCCATCTATCTCTATCTGTTAGAGACCTTCAATTTCTACTAAAATAAAGCTAATTGTGATAGATCAAATCGGCTTAAGTTGGTTCGCAACATCAGTAACAGATACCCAAATGTCATGTAACAGCCTATGCAGTCTATAAAAGAAAGAGATCGTTTCATCTCTCTCCAGGAGGGCAGTTGCTTTGAAGCTGAGCCCAGGGAATCTGGCCAACCAAAACTCCAAATATCCGCTCTATTTCTTACGTTTCATTAATAGTGGGGGTAGTAACTTCCATGTGGCTCATTTAACATAAGCAGTTTCCTCCCTGTGGTTAGTCCAGGTGAATTGATTATCTCTGTACCATTCCAAGCATCAGGCAGATGCAGTCAGCTGCTGCTATCCTGTATTACTTCCGGATTTTAAATTTCCTTTTCAAAACCGAAAGACTAGGAGTTGGTGAAGCCCTGGGTACAAGGAAAGTCTGACTCTGGAGAGAAGTCAGGTAGGCTAGGGAAGAGGCAAAACAGGCTGATTTGGGCTGCAGGACAACAGATTCTGGGGAAGGTATGAACTGGAATTTCCCAGCTGAGCAAGGTGACCCTTTTTATTTATTTATTTATTTTTTTGAGATGGAGTCTCACTCTGTTATCTAGGCTGGAGTGCAGTAGTACCACAATCTTGGCTCACTGCAATCTCCAACTCCTGGATTCAAGCTGTTCTTCCATCTCAGCTTCCCAAGTACCTGGGATTATAAGCATGTGCCACTATGCCCAACTAATGTTTGTATTTTTAGTAGAGATGAGGTTTCACCATGTTGGCCAGGCTGGTCTTGAACTCCTGACCTCAAGTTATCTGTCTGCCTCGGCCTCCCAAAGTGCTGGAATTATAGGTGCAAGTCACTGTGTCTGGCCGTTTTGTTAATGTGGTACGTTTCGAGATATAGACGTCTGTAAGACCATTTAATTAAGTTCAGTTTTTATCAGTTTTTTTTTTTTTAAAGGCTCACACTTTTGGGGTCATAGCTAAAAACTGCCCAACTCAAGGTTGTGATAACTTTCTCCTATGTTTTCTTCTAGAAGTTTTACAGTTTTAGCTCTTATATTTAGGGTTATGATCCACTTTGAGTTGATTTTCATGCATGGTATAGGTGTCTAACTTCATTTTTTTATGTGTATAGCTATTGTGGGCTTTATTGTTTTGCTCCCCGCCCCCATTCATATATTAAAGTCCTAACCCCTAATCCCCCAGAAGGTGAATATATTTGGAGACAGGCTCTTTAAAGAGGTAATTTAAAGTAAAATGAGTCATTAGGGATGTGCCTTAATCCAATATAACTGTGTCTTTATAGGAAGAGGAGATCAGGACATAGATAGGTATAGAAAAGACCTTGTAAAGACACAGGGAGAAGAGCCGTCTCATCTATAAACCAAGAAGGGAGGCTGCCTACACTTCCAGCCTCCAGAACTGTGAGAAAATAAATGATGTTGTAAGCCACCCAGTCTGTGGTATTTTGCTACGCAGCCCCAGGAAACTAATGCAACAGCTAACTGTCCCAACTGTTTGTTAAAAGACTATCCTTTTCGGTCCGGCATAGTGGCTCATGCCTGTAATCTCAGCACTTTGGGAGGCCGAGGTGGGTGGATCATTTGAGGTCAGAAGTTCGAGACCAACCTGTGCAACATATAGTGAAACCTGTCTCCACTAAAAATACAAAAAAAAAAAAAAAAAAAAAAAAAATTGCCAGGCCTCGTGGTGGGTGCCTGTAATCCCAGCTACAAAGGAGGCTGAGGCAGGAGAATCACTTGAACCCAGGAAGCGGAGGTTGCAGTGAGCCGAGATTGTGCCACTGCACTTCAGCCTGGGCAACAGAGCAAGACTCCATCTCAAAAAAAAAAAAAAAAAAAAAAAAAAGGATGATTCTTTTCCCATTGAATTGTCTTGGCACCTTTGTGGAATATCAACTGATCAAACATTCTGTAAGATTTTATTTCTGGACTCTCAATGTTGTTCAGCTGATCTCTATGCCTATTTTTGTCAGTACCATGTTATCCTGATTACTGTACCTTGTAGTGAGTTTTGAAAATGGGTGGTATGGCTCCTCTAACGTTCTTTTTTAAAAGTGTTTTGACTGTTCTGGGTCCTTTATATTTCTACATACACTTTAGGATTTGCTTGTCAATTTCTTTCTTTTTTTTTTTTTTAAATAAAGACGGGGTTTTACCATGTTGGTCAGGCTGGTCTTGAACTCCCAACCTCAGGTGATTTGCCCGCCTTGGCCTCCAAAGTGCTTGGATTACAGGCGTGAGCCACTATGCCCAGCCTTGCTTATCAATTTCTATTAAAAAAACCTATAAAAAAGATTTTGACAGGGATTGTATTGAATATGTAGATTCATTCTGGGAGGAGTTCCATTTTAACAATATTGAGTCTTTCAACCCATAAGTATGGAATGTCTCTCCATTAATTTAGATCTTCTTTAATTTTATTAAAATGTTTTGTAGTTTCAGTATATAAATCCTGCACTTCCTTTGTTAAATTTATTTCTAAGCATTTCATTATTTTTGTTGCTATTGGGAGTTGGACTGTTTTCTTAATGTCACTTCTGGATTATTTGTTCCTAGGATATAGAAATACAACCGTTTTCTGTATATTGAGGTTTTATCCTGATCTTACTAAACTCAGTTATTTGTTCTAGCATTTTTTTGATGATCTCTTATGATTTTCTACATAGAGAATCGTGTCATCTGTGAGTTAAGAGTTATATTCCTTCGTTCCCAAACTGAATGCCTTTTCTTTCTTTTTTTTTGTGCTTATACTGACTAGTGCCCCAGTAAAACGTAGAACAGACGTGTAAGGGTGAACATACTTGCTTTGCTCCTGATTTGAGGCGGAGTTCGTTCACTCCTCCATTTAAGAAACATTTCTTGCTATTCCTACCCCTCTCCTATCAGAATTGCTAGTGATTTTAAGTTGGAGAAATAAATATCAAAGATAAGAAAAGCTGCTGAACAAAATAAAAACATGCTTCGTTCTGACTGTAGCCTCAAGATGAATGAAATATAACCAAAAGGCAGGTCCCTTGTTTTTTAGAACATTCAAGGGACAGGAAGCTGCTGTACCATCAAACAAAAGGGGTTAGTTAAATAACTTCTGAAGCATGCATGTATAACGGAATACTACACAGTCATTAAAAGTAGGCTTAAGAGTTTTTTTTTTTTTTTTTTTTTTTTTTTTTTGAGACAGATTCTCGCTGTGTTGTCCATGTGGGAGCGCAGTGGTGCAATCTCGGCTCACTGCAACCTCTGTCTCCCAGGTTCAATCGATTCTTCTGCCTCAGCCTCCCAAGTAGCTAGGGCTACAGGCATGTGCCACCACACCTGGCTAATTTTTGTATTATTAGTAGAGACGGGGTTTCAACCTGATGGCCAAGCTGATCTTGAACTTCTGAACTCAGGTGATCTGCCTGCCTCGGCCTCCCAAAGGGCTGGGATTACAGGCGTGAGCCACCATGCCCGGCCAAGAGGATGTTTTAATAGAAGGGAAATTCTCATATACGAATTAGGGCAAAAGAGAAAGACAGATACAATAACAAATATTGAATGGTCTCAACATCATTAAGAAATGCACATAAAGAAAAGGTGGAAAGGAAATATATAAATCCCTTAACAGCTGTTGTCTCTCGGTTTAATGATTTTCCCCCCTGATTTCTTTACATTCCATTGAATTGCATAAATTTTTATCAGTGAGCATCTCATAGTCAGAAAAAGAAAAGAAAACAGAATACACCTACAGGGAGGGCTGTGTGGGCATTTCCCAGCCTTACCTTACAGTATTCATCAATCGGTATCAGGCGTTTGACAGCCACGTCCCGGATGTGGCTTCGTCTGAAGAGAATCTTACCTGCAGAAGATGAGAGCAAGGACAGTGTTGTCAGGGAACAGGGACAAGCGCTCAGCAACCTGAGAGCGTGTGGACGTGGCCGTGTCTAAGGCAGGTCTGAGTGGTGCCCGAATTCCTGACTGTGGTGAAGGTACCCCTGCTGGACTTCCGCGGGGCTTGGATGAGCCCACGTTAGGTCCCCTGACCCCCGTTCACAGCTTTAGCTCAAGAGCTTGGGGGAGTCGGATCCATGGAATAGGTTTTGGCGAGATAAGGGAGGCTGAAAACCACTGTGGAAGGCGGCCACTCCCACCCGATGCAGAAGGCTGGACCCAAGGATGCGAGGCGCTGTCCAACTCCAGGATTCTGACCGGGCGAGCAGGACAGTGGCTAAGCAGACATGCCCTTAGCAATAGTTCCGTCTCCTTCCCCCGTTTCTTCATTCACCTTCTGCTTTCTCCTCATGTTCCCTAAGCACCCATGCTCGACCGTTCTGAGCCCTCCCCTCGGCGCGCACACAGCCCGCGCAACGCATCCCACAGGTTCAGCGTTCTTGGCTCTTTCTGACTGCTCGCATTATTCATTTTTATAGCACGTCTTTTAAATTTATTGAATTAAATTTTAATTTAAAAGAATTTATTTAAATTTATCTAATTATTTAATATTTATATACAATATATAATTAAATATAAATTAATTAAGTTTAAAATTTATTTTTAATTTTTAAAAAGCACTTCTTTTTAATTTATTTTACAGCACATTCCTCCCTCCCTCCCTTCTTTCCTTCCTTTCTTCCCTCCTTCCCTCCCTCCCTCCCTCCCTCTCTCCCTTGCTCCTTCCTTCCCCCCTCCCTTTCTACCAGTCCTATCATATGCGCTGCACGGATAGGAACTGACTGCATCTCGGTCCATTTGGTGACACTAATGTTTGATAAATGTCTGAATGTAGCTTCCACCTACAAAGATGACAGATCCCTTCAGTCCCTTCCCCAATCAGTGTCTGTAAGAGAACGGTTTTGAGTCCTGTTTCACCCAGTATTAACTACCTGCTTTATGACATCTGAAACTCTGGGGCATGGGGCTATGAACCACCAGTATGACACATGGGTAGAGAATGTGGGTCACAGGAAAACATGGGTATACACATGATGCCACTGAAGATCTCTGGAAATATCCAAGACACTGACGTATCATGGGCGACGTTTGTTTAAAGCAAATCAGTGGGCTCAGAGTCTAGATAGAATATCCTCTCTTTGGGAGATGGAGGCGGAGCATACAAACTAAAGACTAAGATCACCTGGCTCACCATCCTGGATCTACCACAGTCGGAGGTGGGGGAAATCGGAAATAAGACATAAAGAAGGGCCAGAGACACGGGGGATGGAGAGAAGCACCTCTACCAAGCTCATGCAAAGTGACCAGGGGGACTCTATGGGTAGGTCAAGGGGAAGGCGTGGGAAGACCACAGCTGCTCTGGAGAGCACAGCATGGAGACCTATTAAGAGCTCTCTATATTTTCTGGTCCTAGGATGTTGGTTAAAAAGACGAATTTGGGTCACGAGCCTGGCAAGGTAAGGAGAGATTACTATTGATCTAAGATGGTTTCTGGTGAGACGGCTGTCTCCACAGATCAAGCCTGGGTGAGCAGGGATAGGATGGCATAGAAAAGGCTAGTAAGGGCCGGGCACGGTGGCTCATGCCTGTAATCCCAGCACTTTGGGAGACCGAGGCAGGTGGATCACTTGAGGTCAGGAGTTTAAGACCAATCTGGTCAACATGGCAAAACCCTGTGTCTACTAAGAATACCAAAAAAAAAAAAAAAAAAAAAAAAAAAAATCAATCAGCCAGGCATGACAATGCATGTCTATAGTCCCAGCTACTCGGGAGGCTGAGGCAGGAGAATCGCTTGAGCCCAGGATGTGGAGGTCGCAGTGATCTGAGATCACGCCACAGCACTCCAGCCTGGGTGACAGAGTAAGTGAGGCTCCCTTTCAAAACAAAGCAAAACAAACAAAACAAAAACGGTTAGTACAGTCAGAATTTTCATAATATGACAGAACTGGAAGGGAAGCTGAAAAACAACCCTACTGACTTTTGAAGATTGGCAATGCAAAGTAGTAAAGGAGGTTTGCACCCAAAAAGACCATATGGCTAATCCAACATTTTAAATAATTGGACAACTTTCTCTGGTGCCAAAGGACACTATTTGGAAACTAGGTAGACATGGTAAATAATAATTTTAAAAAAAGAGATAGAGAAAGCCTTCTTTTCTCTCTCATTTTCACCAATTTAAAAAATATCTAGGCTGGGCACGGTGGCTCACGCCTGTAATCCCTACACTTTGGGAGGTGGAGGTGGGTGGATCACCTGAGGTCAGAGGTTTGACACCAGCCTGGCCAATGCGGTGAAACCCCGTCTCTGCTAAAAATACAAAAATTAGCTGGGCATGGTGGCACATGCCTATAATCCCAGCTACTAGGAGATTGAGGCAGGAGAATCACTTGAATCTGGGAGGTGGAGGTTGCGGTGAGCCGAGATCGTGCCATTGCACTCCAGCCTGGGAGACAAGAGCAAAACTCTGTCACAAACAAACAAAATCTAGATGAATCAGCTTCACAGAGTTCAAAGTGCTTGTCTTTGAGGAATAGAAGAGAATTCTGGTTTTCTTTTTTACACTTTCTCCTCAGTTCCTGCTGTAAACATTTATTGCTTTTAGAATCAGCAAATTTTCATGTCATTAGCGAAAAAAGGAAATGAGGCAGTGAAGCGGGAGGGTTTTTGCAACTGGATTTCCCTGGAGCCGATGATCTTACTCACTGAACAGGTCCAGTCTCCGTGTGAGCCCTTTCTGTGCCATGCTTTGGGGCTAGTGGGGAGCAAGACGGCTGTGGCCTGCCCTCCTGGTGCCCACAGCTGGTGTTTCCCAGAAGCAGGGGAGGGGACCCTGCTGGAGTTTGGGTGGGGCAATGCTTCCCGGGACTGGCCCCGCCCTCTAGGGTGTTTAGCATCCTTGGTCCAAATCCAGATGAAGCTGGTAGCCTTCCCAACCCCACCCACCTCCAGTCATTGTGACAATCAGATACTCCCCATTCCATTTTATTGTCCTCGTAGGTGGAACTACTTGCAATATAGAACCCCAGGAATGTCCTCAGCTTTCAGGAAAAACAAAGAATGTGTGCCTATGAAGAGAAATCCTACTCAGCAAATGCTCCCTGCACTCGAATTTATGTCTCAAAATGGGAGAGGGGTCCCTAATAAAAGATATTTTGGTCCCCTTCTGAAAATTTTTCCTCTGGAAAACAGGAAGGGTGGAGGGTGGGTGTATAGCCATCTTACTGAAAAGGTCGTGAGCAGGCTCAGAATATCTCCAACCTCACGGGACAGCACTGGCCCATGGCAATAGGCACAGGCGTGTCCTGAGGCTGCCCCCGACTAGAGACCAAAGGTAAGGATCCACGCAGGGCTCGGTCTACAGGAGCTGAGAGGGAACGGAAGACTCGGGCGCACTTAGCATTTCCTAGGGGGTGACACAAGGACAAAAGTGTCACTCCTATACCTGTGTGACCTCAGTGAGATGGGAATCTCTGGGCGCATGTCTGGTATCTTGCCAGCGATGAGGGCAGGATGCCCTGTGGCAGCCCCGGGGCCTACTGGAGAGGCTCTGCAGTCAGTGAGGCCCTGGCCAACCCCAGGCAGCGCCGCTTTGGGGAATGCATTTACCTTCCGGAGCCTCAGTCTCCTCATCTGTGAAATGGGACAGCAGTCCCTAGCTCTTAGAGGCCATCTCCATGATACCCAGCACAGGGGTGGCCCTTAGTAGGTGCTTGCAAAGGGGCAATTCCTTCTTATTTTTTTTTAGACTTTAGATGACTCATGCACTCCCAGCTTTCTTAAACCTGCCCCCTATGGGCTAATTTGTCATTTATCCATAGCAGAGCCCGAGTTGTGGCTCAGGTCCTGGCTGTGGGGCAGAACCGTGTGGCCAGTGGTAGGCACGGGAGCCAGCACCTCCTTGGCCCGGCCTCCCTGGTGAGGTGCCATGGGCAGCAGCCCTGGCCTGGGCCTGACGTGAGGTGTTTCTGAGAGCATCTTGGGGAAGGAGGGGGAGCCGGCTGCCTTCCTGGAGCGGAAAGGGTGTTCAGAGGCGAGCAAGGCCTTTGGTGGGAACGGTCGGCTTTTGTTTTCCACCGTGGAGGAAGGCCAGACTGTAATTCCTATTTTTCAGGCAGCATCCTCTGCCAAGTTGGCTTCCCCAGCTCCTGCTGGGATGGAAAACTGTGCAGGCTGCTCCCCTCCCCCGCCTTTGTGCTAACATGAGACCGGCTTTTGTTCTGCTGACGCGGCAGTCTTGGCAGAAAACTGACCCTAGAAGAGGGGGCGCCTCTCTGTGCTTCCCTGCCTTGGCCTCACCCTCAGCCTCCAGGAAAAGCTAAGAGGCGGCTCAGAAGGGGTGGTCTGGGGTCCTGGGGCCCAGCGGGACCTCTCCAAGCCACAAGTGGGTGACTTGAGCAGGGACCAAGTCCCTGGGAAGGGCATTTTGATTAGTTCTTTGGTGGAGAAGGGTTACGCAACCATGAAAGCGTTTTAAGAGCTTGGGAGAGGGTCGGCTCAAGTTCTTCTCTGTCTTGGCTAGTTTTCCAGAGCTGGTTTTGCCGTTTTATCCAGTAAAGAGTTAGAAATCACTGCTTTCCTTTCCTTTCTTGATTTTTTTTTTTTAAACCCCACATTTGGAGTCCAGTTTACCTTGAATATCCAGAACGGTCATTTAAGGAGGTCTCTAACATGTGAAACCAAGAGATTCCAGAAGCATCCCAGGACCCTGTTTCTGCCTTTACCAAGAATCTACTATGTGCCAGGAACTGGATCTTGTGAAGTAGGGGTCACTGTCCTGTTTTTAACAGATGTGGAAACTGAGGCTCAGAGGGGGATGTCGTTTGCTGGAGGTTGCAGGCTGGTCCGTTTGACTCTGAAGCACACGCTTTGGAGCGCTGACATTTGGCTGTCGCAGCTGGCCAGCTGGGTTTTTTTCCAGCAGGAAAGAAAATTCCAGCATGGTTGTATACTTTGCCAGTGGAAGAACCACAAATGTTAGCTTTTTTAGGTGAAGGATTCTCCCAGCAGAGGCGGCCTGGCAAACATATGTGCCCTGTCTCTAAACCCATTAAATGGTGGCAATACCTGAATAACCCACTATGTCCTGGACTAGGTGGTTGGGAGACCGGACTTGTGTGACCCAGGGAGTCCCCCACCATCTCTGAACCTGTTCCCTTCTCTGAAAAAAGATGTTTTTTTTTTTTTTTTTTAAATTTCTGAGATGGAGTTTCGCTCTTTCGACCAGGCTGAAGTGGTGCAATCTCAGCTCACAATAACCTCCACTCCCTGGGTTCAAGCCTCAGCCTCCTGAGTAGCTGGGATTATAGGTGCCCACCACCATGCCCAGCTAATTTTTGTATTTTTAGTAGAGAAGGGGTTTCGCCATGTTGGCCAGCTTTGTCTCAACCCCCTAACCTCAGGTGATCCACCCACCTCGGCCTCCCAAAGTGCTAGGATTACAGGTGTGTGCCTGGCCTTGAAAAAATATCTCAAGGGCCCACCCAGCTCTAAATATCTGTGACTTAGGGTGATTGTCAGACTGTTGATTTTCAGTACATAAAAATCATCAAAGTGCTTGATGGCTGTTAGCGACCTGGTAGGCATTTACATAATCATCATAACAACTTCATTATTTTAGTACCATTGTTACCTCCAATTTGCAAATGAAGTCATCTACCCAAGGTGACAGAGTTGGTGAGGGGGGCATGCTGGGATTGGAATCCAGGTTGTCTGACTCCAGGCATGAATTTTGGAGCCAGCCATACCTGTGTCTGAATCCCAGTTTTGCCATCTGTGCAAGGGCCTATAGGTTCCCTGAGCCTCAATTTACTCATCTGTGAAATGGGCACAGTAATACCTACAATGCAGGGCTGCTCTGAGGACCAAATGAGGTAATGAATGTAAAGCACTCAGTGACTAGCCCGCAATAGGGAGCTATTATTATACTTGAAGCAGTAATGCTGGCTTGGGTAACCCTCTCTTTTTTTGAGACAAAGTCTCGCCCTGTGGCCCAGGCTGGAGTGCAATGGCGAGATCTTGGCTGGCTGCAACCTCTGCCTCCCAGGTTCAAAGAATTCTCCTGCCTCAGCCTCCTGAGTAGCTGGGATTACAGGCGCCCGCCACCACACCCAGCTAATTTTTTTTTAAATTGCATTTTAGGTTTTGGGGTACATGTGAAGAACATGCAAGATTGTTGCATAGGTACACACGTGGCAGTGTGATGTGCTGCCTTCCTCCCCGTCACCTATATCTGGCATTTCTCCCCATGCTCTCTCTCCCCAACTCCCCACCCCACTGCTGTCCCTCCCCTATTTCCCCCCAACAGACCCCAGTGTGTGATGCTCCCCTCCCTGTGTCCATGTGTTTTCATTGTTCAACACCCGCCTATGAGTGAGAACATGCGGTGTTTGATTTTCTGTTCTTCTGTCAGTTTGCTGAGAATGATGGTTTCCAGGTTCATCCATGTCCCTACAAAGGACACGAACTCATCGTTTTTGATGGCTGCATAATATTACATGGTGTATATGTACTACATTTTCCCTGTCCAGTCTATCATCGATGGGCATTTGGGTTGGTTCCAGCTAATTTTTATATTTTTAGTAGCGATGAGGTTTCACCATGTTAGCCAGGCTGGTCTCGAACTCCTGACCTTGTGATCTAACCACTTCGACTTCCCAAAGTGCTAGGATTACAAGTGTAAGCCACTGTGCCCAGCCAGGGTAACCCCTCTCTTTGAGCTGAAGCCATGACACTATTCTTTGGTAAGAAATTTGGGGGGATGGAGACTGACTGCCTTGGGAACAGAGACTACGAATAATTGCATGAAACACTGCACAGCAGCTGGTGTGGTACCCGGTAAGCTGTGTGAGGTAGGTTCATAAACTTTCTAAAATATGCCCCAAAGATGTGCCGCCCTAATCCCCAAAGCTTGTGTATGTGACGAGCTATCATATGCCTTATACCTTAAAAGAGGGAAATTATCCTGGATTAGTCAGGTAATAATCGTATGAGTCCTTAAAAGCAGACAGCTTTCCCTGACTGGTGGCAGAAGCCGAAGTCAGAGGGATCCGAACCCAAGTCAGATTTGCTGCTGGCTGGGAGATGGAGAGGGCTCCTGTGATGAGGGATGCGGGAACCTTTTAGAAGCTGAGAGGGTGACAGCCAGCAAGGAAGCAGATCTTGGTCCTGTAGCCATGAAGAACTGAGCTCTGCCAACAATCTATGTGGAGGCTGGAAGCAGACTTTTCTCTAAGTGTTCCAGATAAGAGCTTGCTTAGCTGACATCTTGCCTTTAGCCTCATGAGACCTTGAGCAGAACCCAGTTGGACTAAAAACTCTGCCTGCACTTTTGGCTCACAGACCTGTGAGGTCATATATGGGTGTTTTAAGCTGTTAAATTGGTGGTCATTCGTTATGCAAGAATAGAAAACAAATACCATAGCTATAGAAACAGAAAGCACTCACTACAAAAACTTACTGAGGCCGGACGTGGTGGCTCACGCCTGTAATCCAAGCACTTTGGAGACCAAGGCAGGCCGATCACCTGAGGTCGGGAGTTCAAGACCAGCCTGACCAACACGGTGAAACCCCCGTCTTAAAAACAAACAAAAAACAAACAAAAAAACTTACTGAGCTTGAATTATTCCCATTTTAGAGATGGGAGCCAGTGAGGATCCCAGAGGTAAAGGGTTTTCCCAAGGTCATTCATCAGCTAGTAAATGGTATAGCCTCTAATGTCAAAACCCAAGTACTTAGTCATTAATCTGCTTATGCTTAGCGTTCCATTATTGGAATGCTAAGTATGTGGGAGTTATTTATCTCCTACTGCTTAAGGTCACCACTAAGGTCTGATTTTTTCACTCACGCAAAAATTAAAAAAAATTGCAACCTCTGGCATAAATGGGTTAATTTCTACAAATGGCTGAGATTCTGGTCAGTGGGATGGGGTCCCCTGAGAAACGAAGAAAAGCTGATAAAGTGTCCCAAGGGTCTGGGAGTCCTCAGTGTTCCAGACTGAGAGCACCCATCTCACCTACCTGGCAGAAAGGGAATGATCCGCTGCTTCGGGTCCTTCTGTCCTCCTTCCATGGGAAATTTGTCCAACATCTGCATCTAAATAGGGGGGAAAACACCAATAACAGAAACCTTTCATAATACAATAAACAACATCTCGGACCTTTTAAAGGAAGGATGTGAAATATGTGATGTGACATACAGAAAGTTCACTTCATTCAGCTTTCCAGAAACCCAAGCTAATGGGAAAGGCAATTTCAATTGGATCTAGAAACTCCATAAAAATAATGTTTATATCGACAGCTGCCAGATTTGTGAAGGTTCAGAGTTAAGAGAGACCATTCCTGGCTTTCCCGGGGTTCTCTATCCACAGGATCTGAAACGTGAACAATACTCTCAGGGCCACCAGGATTTCACGGACAGCAGGTCATCCTGTTTTTTGAGAATTGCTGGGTTGAGGTAAGGAATGAATCACTAATATTCAATCAATGTGGTTAGGTTTACGCTTACGAGAGAACTGTATTCCCCTGACCCAGAAAGAATTCCCCAGGTTGGCTCAACAGACAGCTTTGGGTCTGGCTCTGTGCTAGAGGTACAGGGTACAGCAAGGAAAAGATTCATAGTCTAGAGAGAGGACTGAGAAGAAACTGATCATTACAAGGTGGTCTAAAGAGAGGGAGGTGTAGGCTGCTGTGGGGGAAGAGGAGCAACAGGGCAGAGTCCCCAAAACAAAACATTTATGGTACATACCATCAATGTATCTTCTGGCGCTTCAAGGACTTAATGTGAAATATCTGATTTGGCATACAAAACCACAAGGATCTGCTGCTTACTCCCCATGGGGTCTCAGGAAAGTGACATAATGCTTTAGGGTCTCATCTTTAAGCCTGCCATCAGGACACCAACTTGCAGCGTTATTTTATGGATTAGAACTGGGCCGCAGAAGTCATTAATGCTGTTGTCAAGTATTTCTGGTTCTTCTTCTGAGTACATGGGACATTTGTACTTTCCCCAGTCCGTTGAAGGGGATGTGGCCAGTTTCATGTGAGCTGGAGACATGTGTCACTTCGGGGTGGAAGATGATGACTGGGCTATTTCCCTCTTCCTTGGGGACTGACCACGCTCCACTCCAGAGCCTGGCTTCTCTGCTAGCCGCAGTCATGGGATGAGGTCCAAAGACCCCAGTGACCTCTGCTGGACATGTGGCCTGAGTGAGCGACGACAAGATGCCCTTGCTGTACAGCGAGGTTATTTGTGTGAGCACCACCTTCACCTACCCTGTTTAGTACTCGGGTCAAGGAATCAAAGCAGATGGGAAGGCAGTCTCAGGCCTTGAGGAGTTATGGTTGGAATGTGAAAAGTGAAAAGCCTGCTCATAGGAAAGTCACTCTGGCACTCGAGATCCGTCCCTCTCATGTAATAAAAGAAGCTTTGAAAAGTCCAGGAGAAATATGTGCAGCTATGGTGCGGGCATCTGGGGAGGAGGGGGGGACCTGAAGTGGGAGAGGCGAGAGATACATACATCGAACACCCACCATCTGTCAGACATGGGCTAGGTTCTTTAGAAATATTCCCTCATTACATCCTCACATCATTCCTTTAAGGAAGACATGACTGTCCAGGAAACTCAAGGCCTGTAGCCACCAAAGTGCAGGGACCAGAGACTGAAGGCCACGTGCTTCATTAGCATCGAATCACCCCCGGCTGAAATGCTATTTAGACAATTAAAAAGGACAGGGCTGCTTTTCCAGGCTGGAGCACCCAGCCTCTTCGGTGCTGTGCCACAGGATGCCCTGGGCAGGTGGGTCAGCCTCAGCTTGGCCGGGCATCCTGGAAGATGCCGCGATGTGCGGCCTTGCCCCAGAAGTCTTTAAACTTTTAAACTGTGGGTTTTCTTTTTCCTCCTTCTCTCTTTTTCTCCTTGGTCTCTAGCTAGGAGTTTATTAATCTGTATCGTTTCAAAGAACTTACTTTTAGTTTCACTATTTTTCTTTATTGTTTTTCTGTTCTCAATTTCTTCTTTTTTGAGACAGGGTTTGCTGTGTCACCCAGGCCGGAGTGCAGTGGCACGTCACAGCTCACTGCAGTCTCGATCTCCCCAGGCTCAGGTGATCCTCCCAGCTCAGCATCCAGAGTAGTTGGGACTATAGGCGTGTGCCACCACGCCAGGCTCCTTTTTTTTGTATTTTGTAGCGATGGCTTTTGCCGTGTTGCTCAGGCTGTCGATCTCTTATCTTAATTACTGCCTGCCTTTTGTATGCTCTGGGTTATCACTTTTTTCTCTCTTTTGTTGCCCACACTGGAGTGCAACGATCACAGTCTCGGCTCACTGCAGCCTCCACTTCCCAGGTTCAAGCAATCCTCCTACCTCAGCCTCCCAAGTAGCTGGGACTATAGGTGCACATTGCCACACGAGGCTAACTTTATAGTTAGTAGAGACGGGGTTTCACCATGTTGGCCAGGTTGGTCTTGAACTCCTGACCTCAAGTGATCCACACGCCTCGGCCTTCCAGTGTTGGAATTCCAGGTGTGAGACACCGTGCCTGATCCGGGTTTTCACTTTCTAGTTTCTTTTTAATTTTTAAAATTTAATTTTTAATTGACACATAATAATTGTATATAGTCATAGGGTACATTAGTAATGTTGTGATTCACATAATACGTAGTGATCACATCAGCATATTTAGCATGTCCATCATCTCCAACATGTATCACTTATTTGTGTTATAACTATTCAATGTTTTCTTTCCAGCTATTTGAAACTATGTAATACACTATTGTTAACTACAGTCATCCCACAGTGCTATACAACAGTAGCACTGGCCTGGCATGATGGCTCACGCCTGTAATTCCAGCACTTTGGGGAGGCCGAGGTTGGTGCATCACCTGAGGTCAGGAGTTCGAGACCAACCTGGCTAACATAGTGAAACCCCGTCTCTACAAAAATACAAAAAAATAGCTGGGCATGGTGGCGGGTTCCTGTAATCACAGCTACTAGGGAGGCTGAGGCAGGAGAATCACTTGAACCCGGGAGGTGAAGGTTGCAGTGAGCTGAGATCACACCATTGCACTCCAGCTTGGGCAGCAAGAGCTAACCTCGGTCTCAAAAACAAAACAAAATAAAAAACCCCAAACATTAGAATTTATTCCTCCTATATAGCTGTGACTTTGTATCCTTTTACAAATCTCTATCTCCCCACTTCTCAGCCTCTAGTATCCTTTGTGCTACTTTTTACTTTTATGAGATCAACTTTTTAAGCTTGTACATGTAAGTGAGAACTTCTGTTCCTGGCTTATTTCACTTAACATAATGTCCTCCAGTTGCATCTATGTTGGTGCAAATGACAAGATTTCCTTCTTTTTGATGGCTGAATAGTGTTCAATTGTGTAAGCATGTCACATTTTCTTCTTTCCTCTTTTTTTTTTTTTTGAGACGGAGTTTCACTCTTGTCACCCAGGCTGGAGTGCAATGGTTCAATCTCAGCTTACTGCAGCCTCCATCTCCTAGGTTCAAGCGGTTCTCCTGCCTGAGCCTCCTCAGTAGGTGAGACTACAGGCATGCACCACCAAGCCTGGCTAATTTTTGTATTTTTAGTAGAGATGGGGTTTCACCATGTTGGTCAGGCTAATCTCAAACTCCTGACCTCAGGTGATCCACCCACCTCGGCCTCCCAAAGTGCTGGAATTACAGGTGTGAGCCACCATGCCCGGCCCATACCACATTTTTTTATCCATTCGTCTGCTGATGGGCACTTAGATTGATTCTACACCTTGGCTGTTGTGACTAGGGCTGCAATAAACTGTGAGATGTATTATCTCTTAGATATATTGATTTCCTTTCCTGTGGATAAATGCCCAGTGGTGGGATTGCTGGATCACATGGTAGGTCTCTTTACAGTGTTTTGAGGAACCTCTACATTGTTTCCCATGGAGGCTATACGGGTTTCTGTTCCCACTAACTATGTAGAAGTGTTCCCTTTTCTCTACCTTCTTGCCAGTATTTTAAACGTGGTTTTATTTGTGGTTTCTAGTCATTATCCCCTGCTCAGTGCTGCCTGGTGAGGTGGAAATGCTTGGTCCACTGTCATTCAGAGACAGGTGAGGCCACACTGGGGCCTTGCTGGAAAAGGCAGCCTTTCTTTTGTGAATCCAAGAGCTCTCCAATGCCAGCACATAGTAGGTGCTCAACAAAAACTGGCTGAACCGGATGTTGCTAGGGGGAGGCTGTGAGTAGGGAGGACAAGGGGGTATGTCCTGTACTTTCCAGTCAATTTTTTCTGAGACCCTAAAACTTCTCTAAATACGGAAGTTTATTAATTAAAAAAAAAAAAGGACTGAACCAAGGAATGCAACTGAGTGAACGCTTTGGGAGGCAACTTCAGGAGATGCTTGCTAAGTAACTCTGAGGAGTCATATTCATATTACTAATATTAAATAATAATTAGTAATCACAACCCACATTTCTATAACAGTTCACGGTGAACACGTCCTCTCATATACAGTTTCATGTGACCTTCACAGTAACCCTGTGAAATAAATGTTACAATCCCCTTGTCACAGATGAGGAAACTGAGGAGCAGAGAGGGCAGTGAACTTGCCTGAAGTCACACAGCTAAGTGGTGGGCCAGCCAGCCCAAGCGTCTTTGTCTAAATTCCATTCTTTTTGCCTAAGACCACTCTTTGAAGCAGCTGCAGAGTGTCATTTGAACACTAAAGTCAGCCTGAGATGAGGTGAGTTTAATATTCTGTGCACATGTGGACAGCATGCTTTCTTTTCAAAAGCAGAGCCATTAATCAGTCTCAGCTGTGGAGTATTGTAGAGGTTTATAGGTTTTTGCCTAACACTATCTACTTTTTCCCTTCTCAATTTTATTTGTTAAGACAATGAAACATCGTTAAGGGGAACTTTTTTTTTAAAGAATGCACCAGTAATCCGTCCACCCTAACACGACCATTTCCAATCTCCGAGTTCCTTTGCAGTCCTCGTCCTGAGTGTACATGTCAGCCAATGAGTCCCCGGCACTGCTGTGTTTTCAGTCCTCAGAGGGGTCAGTACTGCCTGGTCTTAGGAAGCTGCTTTCTCGCCCTTTGTCCTGACC